AAATTAAATATTACAAACTCAGCTATTTAAAAGAGGGGAACAAGAGAAGTTAGACTAACAAAAAGAAAGACAAAGGGAAGTTGGTGAATAATGAAATTAGAAGGAAAGAGAAGAAGGATTTCGTTTTGTCTTGCCGATGATCATTTCTTGTCCAATTGAGAGCCTATTTATAGGCACATGTGCATGGATTCATATGCTGAGGGAAAGGAACGTGGCAAAGAAATTGTCACTTTTCAAAAGCTTCTTGCCATTTATCTCTTCCTTTCTAGAAGGTTTGCCACATGTTCTTGGGTAAGACATTTGTCCATTTTACTTGCATGCATCTTGCCACATGGATGGACATTTGTCCACCTTTTTGAAAATATCACAACAATTCTATGAATATACTTGACTGTTAGTCTATCATGTCAATAACAACTATGGCTGCTTATCTGATTTCTGAGCTTCATACCTCTAGAATTACTATTCCGTAAATAAAATTTGACATTAATTGAGCTTACTGCTCAATGGACCTAATAGAAAAGCATACCTGCAAAGTCCAATAAAAATCAAGTTTCAAAATATGAGTCATAGGAGCACATGAATCCAGAAAATATAGACAAACTAATGGAATAACTCTAGTTCAGTTCATTTTTAATCAACTCACAGAAACAGGAAAGAAACTATCCCCTCAACTTTATTTCAAAATAAGCCCAAAAAAGAAAAAGATCCAAACTTCTTCCATGCCGTAATATTAGACAAATGTTGTAAAGTTAAGCTAGAAGATCATACATTATTTTGATATCTTTCTTTCAGTCCACTGGCAGTTAAAAAATAAGCTTTGCTTTATTGTAAATCAGTGATAGCGTAATGCACAGTATGCAGAGCCAAGGACCAAAATGATGTTAGAGACTTAATCTAAAAACTCAAAAGAACCCAAAAATTGACATTCATTAACAGTATATATGGAAGATTTAGGCTCAAAATTTTCTGTATTTGAAAAACTGACCTAAACCTAGAAAGATTCTAGGAATTTTTTTTAAAAAAAAAGGAAGAAATCCATTTACCTCCAAACACATGCATCAAATCTTAGAAGTTGTGCAAAGTTTCCTCCATATGGTCTTAGAGGAAAAAGGTAAATCAAGCAAGAAACAAATGCAGACAGATTCAATAAAGAACTTGAAGAAAAAACAAAGAGAGAAAGCTGGGTTAATACATAAATTTAGAACCATATGAAGAAAATGTAATGGGACGTCCGAATCTCAAAATTGAAAAAAGAATAAGAAAAGCAGACTACACAGAGAAAAAAAGGAAACCAAAAGATTAGAAAAGAATAAGAAACTAAGCAAAAACATATGAGGAAGAAGAACTCGCAAGAAAATTGGAAATAGCATTACAGATACTCGAATTTACCATAATATCCATAGGTTATGCCCTTTGTTGTCCAACTGAAGTTTCACCTATTATATAGTTAAAAAGTAAATAATTTTTAGATCATTGAAAGAACAAAGCAGTAAAAGATGCAAAAGTAAGACTGACTAGTATAACCAACCATCGAATTATTATATAGATATTCGTATGTAAAAGTGAAATCAGAAACTTAATATGAACATTAACAAACTAAGCAGATGAGCTCAGATCTGCAGAACTCCCATGGAGTCTTCTAGAAGATTCTGGGAAGAGAGAAGAAGAAGAAGTGGAGAACAGTTAAACACGAAGATATTTTTGTATAAAATGTGAACTCTCATCTGATTTACTCAACTGTACAAGTGTATATATATACATTGACTAATTGACCAACTAACAAGTATACTACTAGCTAAGTATGTACAATACAATAATGAAGAATGTACAAGGAAGGGTTAATAACTAATAAATGTATGTACTCAATACCCCCCCTCAAGTTGGAGGTGAGTCCTTCACAGCCAATTTGCCTAGGACAGCTGAATGTTTGATGCCTGTGAGGGCCTTGGTGAGGATATCAGCCAATGGATCACCAGTGCTCACATGATGAAGGGAAATGAGACCTTCCTGTAGTTTGGTCCTCACAAAATGACAGTCGACCTCAATGTGCTTTGTTCTTTTGTGGAATACTGGGTTGTGTGCAATGTAAACTTCCTTTGAGATACAAGGACTTCATCCTGCTTGTAGAGGACTTCCAGACCCAAGAAATAATGTAGCCTCCCCAAATCTTTTATTCTGAACCTTTGATCAAGGAAAACCTTCAAACTCTCAATCTCTTCAAAGTCAGTTCCAGCGATGATAACATCATCAACATACACAGCCACAAAGATGATGGATGTGGAAGTTTTCTTGCAGAAAAGAGAGTGGTCATTCTCAGAGTGTTGATACCCTTTTGAAGACAGTGCCTCAGCCAACTTTGCATACCATTGCCTACTAGCTTGTTTTAGGCCATATAGTGATTTGTTTAACTTGCATACTACTTTACTTGAAATGGACTGATCAACTACAAGTCCAGGTGGGGCCTCCATGTAGACCTCTTCATGTAGGTCTCCATGGAGGAAGGCATTATTTACATCTAATTGGAATATGTCCCATCCTTTCTTAACAGCTACTGTGATTAGGACTCCGACAGTTGTTATTTTCACACTAGGGGAGAAAGTTTCAGTATAGTCAATCCCAGCCTGTTGAGTGTAGCCCTTTACTACTAACCTAGCTTTGAACCTTTCAATACTTCCATCTGCTTTATGTTTAATCTTATATACCCACCTACAGCCTATTGCTTGCTTTCTAGGTGGTAAGGGAACTAGGTCCCGAGTGTTATTAGCATGGAGAGCCTCAAACTCCTGTGTCATGGCTAGTTGCCAAGCGGGATTGAGGGCTGCCTCTTCATATGAGGATGGCTCACCACCATGACAGACTTAGCATCAAATGCTGACTTTCAGAAAATAGGGCATCAGGAGTGATGTGATGGTGGTTAGAGAACAGGGCATTTAGTGAAGGTGTGCAGTGAGATGCATTAGACAATTGAGTGACACTTTTAGGCAATTGATAAAAATAATCCTTTAGGTAGGTAGGAGTTTGATGAATTCTATTGGACTTTCTTAGAATTGGTGTTTCCAATTGTTCATGTGAAGGTGGACTTTGTGAATTGTCATCATTAGGAGAGGGTGCACTATTGATAGGTGATTCAGAGTGATGTTCTATCCCTGGAGATGTGATACTTTCAGGACCTTGCACAACATCAGTAGGGAAGGCTGGATTGATTTAATCTTCAGAACAGTTAGGGAATGAGACTGTTTTGAGGACAGTAGGGAAGGAAGCATCAGTAGAGCTTAATGAAAAAGGAAAAATATTCTCATGGAAAATGACATCTCTAGAAATGTGAATTTTCTTGGTAGTTAGGCTTAGTACCTTGTAACCTTTTGTCCCAAAGGGGTATCCAACAAAGATATGAGGGCTAGTTCTAGGTTCAAACTTGTCTCTATATATTTTGGGTAAAGTAGGGTAACAAAGGCAACCAAAGCTTCTTTGGGCTTCTTTTGGTACAATATCTCATAGGGGCATTTGTTATTAAGGTAGGTTGTTGGGAGTCTGTTAATCAGGTAAGTGGCTGTTAAAATTCACTCTCCCCAATATTTGGTTGGGAGTTTAGACTGGAATAAGAGAGCTCTGGCAGTTTCCAGGAGGTATTTATGTTTTCTTTCTACTACATCATTCTGTTGTGGTGTGTAGGGACATGTTCTTTGATGTATGATTCCTTTAGACTGATAAAAGGAGGAGGCTTCATGACTTATAAATTCCAAGCCATTGTCAGATCTAATGGTTTTTATGGATGTATCAAATTGATTTTCAATCATAGCCACAAAAGCTTTTATGGCCTAAAGAGCATTGCTCTTACAACTTAGCAAATGTGTCCAAGTGGACCTACTGAAGTCATCCACAAGGGTAAGGAAATATCTGTGGTTGTCATGAGTAGTTACATGGTAAGGTCCCCATATATCAATGTGGACTAGCTCAAACAGTTTTGATGTAGTGGTGGTTCTTTGAGGGAATGGAAGTCTGGTCTGTCTTGCCATAGGGCATAGAGGGCAAATGAAAGGTTGTCTTGGTGCAAATTTAGTGGGGATTGATGACATACCCTTCATCTTAACAAAAGGAACATGACCAAGCCTATTGTCCCAAAGAAAATTCACATCATGTTTATCAAGCACACATGAAGACTCATTCTTATTATTTGAAATGGAAGTATTTACAGGTTGAGGAATGTTATGTGAATAAGCATGATTAATAGACTCATGACTATTTACATTGGAAGAAGGAATGCAATTGCAATGAGAAATTGAAACAGTAGAAGATAAGGTGGTTCTTTTACTCTTCAGGCACCTGGAACAGAGATAATACAGGCCCTCTTTGCTGTTACCAATCACCTGAGGCCTCTTCACTGAAGGGGCCTGCAACAGACAAAGAGTGTCACTGAACATTACTAGACCTTTGAGATGTACTGCAAGGGAGTGAACTGAAATCAAATAATATTTGAAGGATGGAATATAAAGGACCCTATACAGGACAATATCTGTAGACAGTATCACATCTCCAAATTCAAGAACTTTCACCCTATAACCATTTGGTAGACTTATCAATAAAGGGTAAGGCAATTTAGTAATGTTAGTGAGTGCATGCTTGTTAAAGGTCATATGGTTGGATGCTCCTGAGTCTATGATCCAAAGGTCAGTCTTTGATTCAAAGCATTTGCATGAGGGTTTGTCAAAGTCAATAGAAGAAGTGCAGACAACAATACCTGCAAAGTTTGCACTGCCAGTAGTAGTGATGTTGTTGTTGCTAGGAGATCCTCCCACATTTCCTACTTGAAAATGCTGCAGCAGGGCCATTATTTGTCCATATTGCTCTTTAGTCAGGTTGACACTCTGATTTTCATCCTGAAGATCTTGACTGCTCCCATTCTCATGGACCATATCAGCTGGAATCCCATGCACATTTGCTACAGATCCTTTTCCCTTGTTGAATTTGTAAGTCTGGTTGTTCCCCTGGTTGTATGACTATGCACTGCCACGGTTGAAGTTCTGATTATTGTAACAATTGCCTTGGGGGTATCCATGTAACTTATAGCACTTTTCCTTTGTATGTCCTGGTTTCTTGCAGTAATCACAGAATGGTCGACCTTTGTTGCCATTGTTCACTGTGTAATTTGTCCTGAAACTTCTAGTTCCAAATGAACCTTGATGTTGTGGATTTGCATTCACATGCAATGAAGTAGAGTTTAGATTGAGGTGATTATTGGGCTTGAATTCCCTTTGTTTTTCTTCCTGTACCAAGAGAGAGAAGGCTTGAGCCATAGAAGGCAAGGGCTTCATCATGAGGATGCTCCCCCGCACTATTGTGTAGACTTCGTTTAATCCCATCAGAAATTGAATAAGTCTTCGATCTTGTTCTGCCTTGTGCATAGTCTCTTTTGCTCCACATGTGCAGTTGCAGCTGCACTGAGACTTAGCACTCAAGGTACTTAGTTCCTCCCACAGTCTCTTCATACGTGTGTAGTACGCAGTAATGTCTAAGGAACCCTGTGCAAGGTCGTTGATTTCTTTTTGAATCTGATACAGTTTCGCTCCATTCGTTTGGTCATAACGATCCTCTAACTCTCTCCACAGTTCAGCTGAGTTGCTTACATATTCCACGCTATCATAAATCTCCTTAGCGAGGGAATTGAGGATCCACCAGGTTACCATGTCATCGCACCTCTCCCATTTTGCGGAATTGAGGAGAATCCGAGCTAGGTTTCACAAATTCCCCACTTATAAACCCTAATTTATTCTCGACTGACAGGGCTCGCAACACGCTCCTTCTCCATGAGCGATATCCAATTCCGTCAAACGGAATTGGTACTAGAGCCATTCTGGGACTATCGGAAGGGTGAATGTAAAGGGGATTACCTGCATCAATGATGGATTGATCGTTTCTGCTCGTGCTAGGGCTCGTTTCTTCACCTTGATTGACAGCCATGTGTGAGGTTTCAAATCGATGAAATTGTGAAATGTAAAGTCCTTAATCGAACCAGAGATCGTCAATTTTGAGACGAATTTCAGAATTAGGTCGAAGAACACAGCGATTGAAAAACTGGAGATCGACGAAGCTCGACCAAAATTTCAAAATAGCTTTTTTGAAGAGATGACAGTAGCTCGGATTGACGTCCTGAGCTCTGATACCATAACAAACTAAGCAGATGAGCTCAGATCTGCAGAACTCCCATGGAGTCTTCTAGAAGATTCTGGGAAGAGAGAAGAAGAAGAAGAAGTGGAGAACAGTTAAACACGAAGATATTTTTGTATAAAATGTGAACTCTCATCTGATTTACTCAACTGTACAAGTGTATATATATACATTGACTAATTGACCAACTAACAAGTATACTACTAGCTAAGTATGTACAATACAATAATGAAGAATGTACAAGGAAGGGTTAATAACTAATAAATGTATGTACTCAATAAACATGAATAGTGAAAATAAGTATACCTTACGAATAAAAATGTTGGAACTTAACTTGGAAAATATTAGAGTTTAACCTTGAGATTAGAGACCTCGTGCTGCTAACTTGTTAACAAACTCATACAAAAATAGCAGCAAAGATAAGAGAAGTAAAGAAGAAGAGAAATTTCGTATTTCTTTTAAGTGTGTCCCATATCATATTTATGCCTCTATTTATATTATTCATAGAGGCTTACAAAAAGGTAGATTTAAACATGATATTAATAATTGGAATCACGGGGGAGATCATGAGTATGTTATTGAGGTGTGGAAGTTACAATCGTAATAATAAAGAGTAGCTCGGTGCACTAAGCTCCCGCAATGCGCGGGGTTCGGGGGAAAACCTGACCACAAGGGTCTATTATGCTCTATATTTCTGCAAGAGGCTGTTTTCACGACTCGAACACGTGACCTCCTGGTCACATGACATCAACTTTACCAGTTACACTAACGTTTTCCTTCCCATAATAATAAGAAGTAGTGAGAGGTTATTTACACCTCGGATAAAAATAGTAAAAATAATGAAAATAGTAAATATCCAAATTAACTAGTAATTTACAAAACTAACCTTAGGCTCCCTTTGTCCATATATATATATATATATAAATTTTTTTTTTCTTATTTTAATTTTTTTTTCAAAAATGTGTTTGCCCATAAAATTTTGTAAAATTTTGGAAATTTTTCAAAAAATTATAAAGAACACTTTTTCTTTCCCCGCTTATACTACTGCAATAATATATTTTTAAGTGAAATGCATATCCAAATATAATTTTAAATTTTAAATATTATTTTTCATTTAACTCCAAATACTTTTTTTTAAATTATAATTTTTATGTCAAAGTGCCTACTTATAATCTCTCGTAATAACTCGGAAAATACCAAAAGCAAAAAGAACAAAAAAGAAGAAGAGAGAGATAAAAAAACAAGATAAAATCATGGCCATGTTATAAATAGAATTTTATTTATGGTGAATGTCTATATTTAGAGAGATTCTAGGGTTTATTACTTGGTGGCTAAGTCACTCTCTCCCTATAAATAGAGGGGTCTTACCCCATTGTAAATCATCCCAAAATTCAATAAGAATTCTCTATCTACTTTTATCTGTAATACTCTTCTTATTCTTTTATTATTTTATAACACGTTATCAGCACGAGACTCTAACCAATTGAGTAGACGCTTTGGGATTGAGCATAATGATTGTCAATTATTCCATGAACTTCCTTCATGATTAAATTCTAGATTTAAGGTAAGTATTTTACTTTATTTTTCTCGTTTAAATTCTTGACATTCTATAATTTGATTTTAACTACAAGTAAAGATGATAAATTTTGATTATAACTCTAATGGAGTTTGTAAGAAATTATAACCACCTGAAGTGGTAAAATTTCTATGCCTCGCCATGATCAAATTCATGTATGATTGTGGGCAAAGAATTGAAACCTCGTCCCATTGAATTTGCTCCATTCTCATTCCCTTAAGAGAATGTGATAGCAGTATGTGATAAGTCTGAAAGAAGACAAAGTGAAGGTATCAATGGATGTGGACGTGGCAATAGATGAAATTATAATCGTCATCATTATGATAATGAGAATAATAAGGATTCTCAAAATAATCCTTCACTTTGTGAAAGTAATATTTGTCATCGATTTGATATAAGATTTCGTAAAGCACATACAGATGACTATGGTCCTTTCATGATGTGAATGTGAAAATATTTGATTTATGAATACATATTCATTCTTGGAAGAATATGAAAATGTAGTGGTAGTAAATATACCACACTCACCTCTAGAAGGAGGTTTGAGATGATATAAGAAAATAATATCATTATTATGGCATAAATGGTCATCGGTCACATACTTATTGTACGCCAAAATATTTTGGCATTATGATTATTAAAAGACAACGGTAATGCAAGAAACAAATCTTGCATATAACTTTGACCATAACCATAATGGTATGACTTTTTCTTTAAAAGAGATATTTACCATATGGATGTTGATGGATATGTGGTGGTACCAAAATTAATTGAGAGCTCTGGAAGAGCCAATTATTACTCTTTTGAATGAATAAAATTGATTATCAATAAGTCATTGTGTTGTAGTAAGTCTCAAAGAAACTTATTGAGTTTCTAAAGTATTCGCGAAAGCGGTTGGTTATATTGAGACTATAAATAAAGGAAAAATTTAATATCTTCTATTACTACAACCTGTAGTGGGGTAATATGTATGTGAAAAGTTACCCGCTTTATTCTCTAGTTTGTACTACACAAATAATACCACAATAAAGTGGATGTTTATTGATACAAAAACTCATATCATAATAAACTTGGAGTTTATTGATAATTGCACACGTCATGGTGTAAACCTGAACTTTATCAATATTGATAATTTATTCAGTTGGCATAATTTGTTTAGCCATGTTAATTTAAGTATGATGTGCAAAAATAAAAGAGAATTCATATGAGTAAATATTAAAGAACTAGAAAGTTCTTTACAAATTCTCTTACATTGCTTGTTCTCGTTAATTAATAGACCAATTAAAATTGGGATTGAATCCCATGAATGCTGGAAATATCAAAGGTGAATGTGGGCCCATTCATCTGCCATGTATACCACATAAGATGCATCTATGAGATGTTTACATGTGCAATTATTATTGACCCGCAACCTGGTGTTTGCGAGGTAACTTGCTCAATAATTTAACATAGAGCATAATTTCCTGATTTTTTATTCAAGATAGTTTATCTTGATAAGTTGGTTTACATCACAGCTGGTTTAGCAAAATAATTTATTGGGTGTCTCCACTTAATAGCTAAACTATTTCTTATAAGAACAAAGTTATATATATCAGTTTGATATACGTTATATACGAAAGTATATTATTTTCTCCCCTCACAAGTGGTTCAGGGTTAGGAACCAAATAATTCCATCTTAGTATTATTGATGTGCGGTGTATATTTTGATTAACACCATAACGTACAAAGGTGGATTCTCAAAGTTGAGGTAACAGGTTAGTTTTTCTAACATGAGGGGGAGACATGATAAACAGTTGAGAAAAAGTTACGTGGAATGAATTATTATTTGTACATCTAGATCCTCGAATAAAATAATATGAACTTGAAGTTCATAAAAGGATAATTCATCTGCGATATATTGCAAAGCATGCCATACACATTTGTTGACCCAAAGAAAGTAACAATATTCTTATTGCAAATGCTCCTATTAAGTCCTAGAAGGACAATGTCTATGGTACGCTTAATGCATATAGACAAATCGATTTCAAATAAACTTCTTGATAAAGAAGATGGGCAAATGAACAAAATGATCATAATAAAGAAGGCAAGTGATCTAGAAGATCACATGACATAACACTTCATAAAATCTCAAGAGAGATTCAGGTACCTGAAAATATGAATGAAAGAGATCCCTATGTTATGTCTATATGAAAATATGTTGGAACCGATATAAAATGTTCGTCGACGACATCTATGATAACGCTAAATATATATGAGGATCTTAAGTTTGGAGAAACAATTTCGAATAGAATTGATTTTATATGAAAGACATGTAGTTCAAACACTTGAAAGTATAAAGTCAATGGTATGTGCAATCAGTTTTCGATATCTTATATGTATAGCATGACATGAAAACTTGATATGCATCTAAAGTCTACTATATATCTTATATGACTTAACTTATGTGACAATCCATGAAGGATTTAAGTTGCTTGAAGCATATACAATTCTTGATCTTGAAGTACCACTTCCTCAGTGCAATTTGTGCGCAAATGTATCTTGCTATAACTATAGGAATGATAATATGATAGCAAGAGTTTTCACCTCTCTGTAAATATATTGAAGTGACGATTCCAACAAGATCATATGAAGACAATACATCTATTAGGGATGATGATTTCAAGGTGAAACAAATACGTTCAAGTTAATATGGCTGATTTGTTTATTGAATCTCTACCAAAGATCTTTTGAAGATAGTGCACAAGATTGAAATGCAAATGCTTAAGGATGTGAATTGATGCTCTCATCGGGTGGAGTTAATACGCGTTGTACTCTTTTTTCCTTACAAGGTTTTATCTCACTGGGTTTTCCTTGCAAGGTTTTTAACGAGGCAACCAAAAGGCGTATTGTTAGATATGTGTACTCTTTTTCCTTCTCTAGAGTTTTTTTTCCACTGGGTGTTATTTTAGTTGAGGTTCTAACGAGGCACATTATCCGTTGAATAGACATTCAAGGGGGAGTGTTATAAATAGAATTTTATTTATGGTGAATGTCTATATTTAGAGAGATTCTAGGGTTTATTATTTGGTGGCTAAGTCACTCTCTCACTATAAGTAAAGGGGTCTTACCACATTATAAATCATCCCATAGTTCAATAAGAATTCTCTTTTTACTTTTCTCCGTAATACTCTTCTTATTTTATAACAGGCCACCTTTTTTTCGCGATTCCCCACCCGCACGTTGTATAATTCAAGCAATCATTCTTTCTTTACTTACCCCGCTCCTTTGCTTTTTTCACAACACACTACACAAGTCAATTCATCCCTTTTTATTTTTTCCCTTTTTTTTTTGGTAAAAATAAGCGCTTTGTTTTTTCTCTTTTTCCTTAAACTTCGCCAATTTGTCCCCTTTCTTCTTTTTCGTTGATTCATCTGCTAATAGGGCAGAACCAAAAAAAAAAAAAAAAAAGACATACGTATACAGTTCTTGCATGTAATTATCTGTTCGCACATTGATTATACATTTTTTATTACAATCAATGGAGATCGGTTGATTTTGGTTGTCAATTAGGGTTTCAATTTCTTGTCGGTACTTGAATATTGTAAGGGTTTGTATTTATTAAACGATAGTTCAAGAATTAATATTTTTTTAATCGGTAACCTTAATTGGTTCTTCCCATTTTTCTAAGTTAAATAAACTGGGTGCTTTCTATTTCTGGGTTTTTGGCATTTGATCCATAGTTGTGTATTTAGGATAGATTTATGGGTAAAATTTGTATTTTGGGTTTTTGGGATTTGGTGTATTAGGTGAAAGTGTGATTGTTGCTTTTTATTATTTGGTTATCGAAATCTTGAAGTGGAGTTGTTTAGTTTACGATGGATCATGTTGTGGGTGGGAAGTTTAAGCTGGGAAGGAAGATCGGAAGTGGGTCTTTTGGTGAGCTTTATTTAGGTATGTTCTTAGCTTTTGGGGCGTCAATTGCATTGGATTTGCTTATATGATCAACTCCATTTTCTTGGTGTTGACATTTATTTTCTTAGTAGTTGCTAAACTCATGTGTGTCGCCTCTTTGTGTTTTGATTCAGGTGTGAATATACAGAATGGAGAAGAAGTTGCCATTAAGCTGGTATTTCCTGCAAACCAAATAATGCCATATTTCTTTCCTATTGCTTTTTTTTTTTCTTAATGAAAAATCAGTTTAGGGATGAGTGTGAGTTTTAGAGAACCTTTAATTTTAAAGCACCTAAAGATTTGTCTCAAAGGACAAATTATTTAGTTTTTTAAATGGACCCTATATACTAGAAGGAATGAGGATTCATGTATTCGACCCTGACAGTCTGTAATTGAGATGTAGTTGAACAACTGACTAACTGCGGAATTCATGCTGCTATGTTGTTTCGTTTTTCTTGTGTAATCTTATTGTTAGCTTGATGTTTAGCTTTAGGGGTCGTTTGGTAGGAGGTATTAGAAAAAATAATGCAAGCATTAGCTCTATGCATTATTAATACCTTGTTTGATACATTTTTTCAACCTGTTAGCTACATCATACTCGGTATTATCCTATGTATAAGTAATGCATAGAAAATCATGGCATTAGTAATACCAAGGCTATTAATGCATGCATTAGTATGGTTAAAGACAAAATTGTCCTTAAAGTCCCTTAAAGCTAGAGAATATGGAGGTCATTTTTGTCATGCAATGCATTATAATTTTAATACACCACACCAAACAGTAGATAAGAAATAATATCTGCATATCTAATGCTTGCGTTACTAACCCATGCATTAATAATACATCTTATTCCGCACTATTCTTTTACACCCTACCAAACGACCCCTTAGTATCCTCAGGGTTTTGTCATAGAGTCCTATTTAGCCTATTCAGATATAATGGGTTAGTTGGATGGTGAAATCCTTCTTCACCTTATCTTATTTAGTCTATTCAGATATAATGGGTTGGTTGGATGGTGAAATCCTTCTTCACCTTAACTACCTTGATTGCCACAATATTTTGAGTTGTATACTTTTTATTAGATCTCTCTAGAAAGAGATGATTATTAAGCATGAGAACAAGCATGATTGTTTGATCTGAAAAATTTTTGGTTGAATGATCTATTAAAGTGTGTTGATTCAAAGCATCTGTAAGTTGGGAAATCAGAAAGTATATGTCTCTAGCTGTGTATATGACTTCATTTCCTAGAACTGGTTTTCTAGTCAAGTAGAAATGTAACGACAACTCTAGAAAGGCTCCTTTTTTTGTAACGGTGGTGTATGGGCTCGCTTTCGCGCACCTGGACTATTCCACTAGGTACCGTCTACCTCTACCAACACAGGTACCAGTGTAACTCTCTTAGATGGGAAGAAATCACGTAGCATTTTTTGTCTTATGCTAGGATTTGAACCCTAGTCTCCAGTTTTTTCACCCAATTCAATGACAACTAAACCACACCCTTGGATGCTTAGAAAACGCTCTTTTTCTGTAGATTATCTATGCATATTCACCAGAAAAAGAAGTGTTTAGCCATTTAAAAAAAGAAGTGTATATGTTGAAGAGTTCAGAAAGTAGCAATCTTATCTGACAGTAAGCGTCCACATTCATTGTTATCATGGCCTATGGAAAAAACCTATTTTTGTCCGTCATGATGCTCTTGGAATATGAAAGCAAGACTAGATCTATTGCGTATTAGCTTTAAATATTTGACGAGCTATAGACATCTAACCAGCTTTTTGCTGGCTCACATCAATAAAATTGTAGTTTATAAAAAAACGAGCATATAGTAAATGATCTTTATTTTGATGGGAATTAAAGATTCTAGTTGTTGATGCAACAGTACTATTCTCACTATATGCTCATGACTTCATTCTCTTGGTACTGTAATATCAGGAATCTGTCAAGACAAAGCACCCTCAATTGCACTATGAATCAAAAATATATATGCTTCTTTCAGGAGGAAGTAAGCATTTGTCCCTCACATCTGTAGCCCATTCTTTGCAAAACCTTTTAATATGAGAATGTCATGTGTCCATTCTCAAAAAAATTGAATGCTGCTTGTTCTGATTGATCTTTTCTATGCCATTCTGATGAAGCTGGAATCCCCAATCTTAAATGGTTTGGAGTCGAAGGCGAGTACAATGTAATGGTCATAGACCTTCTTGGACCGAGCTTGGAAGACCTATTCAACTATTGCAATAGGAAACTTTCATTGAAAACAGTTTTGATGCTTGCAGATCAGCTAGTAAGTAGTTCTTTCACATTTTTAAAGAAAAATCACTGTTGTGCCTGTTTGCTTATGCATTTAAGGGTAATAATCTTGGGGTATGTGTCTTTCAGATTAATAGAGTTGAATACATGCACTCAAGAGGATTTCTTCATCGTGACATAAAGCCAGACAACTTCCTAATGGGCCTTGGTCGCAAAGCAAATCAGGTTTTGGTTCATTTCTATGAGAATTTTGTGAATGGATGGAGTTTATTAAAGTCAATGCTTTGCCTATACAGAGAGGGAAAACTCACTATTTGCTAGTTTCATTTCAGATTATCAAATTAATTTGTAAATATTTGGTCATTTTGTTGGATGAATAACTTCTCAGTTCTTATTATTAGTGTTTGTTTAAAATGGCTTTTTTATGCCTCTTGGTTTCTGATAATCAAACTCATTGTGGGGTGGATAGTACCTTAGTCAATTTTCTGAAGTTCATTAAATGGAGTTGTAATTTGGAACTAAAATTAATTATGATTTTTCTCTTTGAAAATTATTACCGAGTTTAATTGTTTTCCTTATAATGCAATTTTATTAGGAAATGAAATGATAGTTTGTTATATATTGCCATTTTATTTATTTATAGGAAATGAAACTCATGTATGGATGAGTTAGAGGCTGACTTTTACTGGTGGATGTTTGAGTTTATGAAGTCTATAATTATGATAGTACTACTTTCTTCGTAAATGGATTTGCTATAAATGTGGGATTTGCTTTTGGTAAGTTGCTGAAAATTTGAGTTGTGTCCTTTAGAGGGTATAAGGAATCAATATGGAATTGAGGGCTTTATGTTATGATGATATACTTATATTGGTATGTTCAGAGGCGGATCCAGGATTTTAAGATCATGGGCGCACCACGATACTTGCCATAATATCAAGTGATGTGAAATTTTTTAGTGTTTTATGACATATTAGTAATTTTGCACATTATCCATAGAAATAAACTATAATCTTGCTAATCTAAATTTGTGTTTGTCATTAATATTATCAATTATAATCTGACAATCATTATATAATATTTGTCTTAAATTTGTTCAGGTTTTAACATTAAAATTCAAAATTAAGAGGGAACGTAAGATGCTAATGAAAATTTAATGCCGTAAATATTAAAGCTTGTGCAAGTTTTAGGGCTAAAAGAAGCATGAAAAATATCAAAAAGCCTTAGAGCATATAAGTAGTTCTTTATATGTGACTTGCTTATCAAAAGAAACAACTATTTTATCCTAAAATTTGGAAAATAATTCAATAATTTGATTGGAATTCAGATATGTTTAAGCAATAATTTGGGATAAAAATATTTAAGCAAGTCTCATCATGAAGTTAGATCTTATTGTCACATAAATTATTTATAATAAAACTAATTTATATAGCGGTTCAAGATAAAGACAAATCTCAATGGAAGTAATCAATAGTTTAATATGTGACTCCTTAAGTTGTTGTTTACCATGAAGTCTTGGAGAAGGAGATAAACAAAAGGAAAAATGATAAGAAGGACAAAAGAGAAAAGAAATAGAATTGAAACAAAAAAGAGCTATGAAGTACAAACTAAATACGTAGTGCCCATGGGGTCTCAACTGGAGGCACCAATGATAAAATTTGAGCATGGGTGCCATCTACACTATATAACTAAACCCTAAAAAATTTATACAGAAAATTTACTTTTAGTTGATAGGAGGATGGTTGCATGTGCCCCACAATTCCTAACATGTATACGGGTTTTAATGAATGGCTAGTTATTGTGTTGGTTTGTGTTAAAGTGCATCTTATGTCCATTTTTCTTTGACTTTTAGCAAACCCCAGTTACCATTGGGCTTCCAAAACTGCTGTATTGAAATTAGAGCTTAAAGGAAAAGAAAGCATATGTGATGTCAAGGTTTTTTCCCTAATGGTGCTAAATCTGAATACTGATGACAGGTGTACGCCATCGACTTCGGGCTTGCCAAAAAGTATAGGGACCTGCAGACACACAAGCATATACCGTACAGGTAGCACATTAACCACTCTGTTAATTAATCCCTGCAATTAGTCATTCTTATTTTTTCTGAATGCTTGTGACGATGCTTTATTAGCCCTAAAATAAAGAAAACTGAAAAGGAACCATCCTTATTTTCTTTTATTGCTCCTATCGTGTCTCCATCATCCAGATACTTCTATTCTCAAACATTAGTGAGGATTTACCGGAGAATAGGTTCGCACTAGAGGAACTTGACAGCCAAGAATTCTCTAGCAAATGACTTCATTAATTATAGAACTATGGTGGCCAGCAAAAGTGAATTTTGTAAGTGGTATTTTTCCTTTCTTGTTCATCAAGCGGTAAGACAAGGGGGCAACATGAAAACATATACTCACTGGACAATCTGGCGATTCGTGTATGCAACGCCAATTGGAGAATATATGATAGATTAGTATTGATACTTGATCACTTATGAAATGGAGATTTTTTTCACGTAAATTTTGGGAAGCATTTGAAGTGTAAGATGTTTTAATTGGTAGTTTGACAGAATCCGACTTTTGATGCTCGCTTTAGTTTTCATTGGTTTTTCTTGCCTCTATAGTTGTACCTTCTTTAATCCAGAAAAGGCACTATTTGCTATTTGAGAGCAGATTTTGACCAGTGTCCTGAGTGAGATTGGAAGCTGGTTAGTTGAGTCCAAACTTAGAATGTAAAACAGAAAATAATTGCTATAAACTTATCGTCAGAGTAAATTCTAATGACTTTCGAAAAGCCGAATGACAATGGGTTATGGTATTGTGTTGCATTTACGTGGATGGCTGTAAATGGCTGTAATATACTGCGTATTAATTATGTAAATCGCTCGTATGGTGCCTATGACATCAATGTCATAATTTGATGCACTTGGAAGGGAGATTGTGGAACGCAAATCGTAAATTCAAGTTTATGGAACTGTGTGTCCTTTGTTGATGTACTTTAATATTGTGAGTAATATATCAGTTGCTGGTACGGTGCTTAATTTCTTAATAACATTAATTTGATGCAACAATTGGAAGGAATTTTTTTTTCTGAGAACAAACAGTTGGAAGGAATATTGTGGAAGGCAAGTTTTGTATTGTCATTACTAGTTTATGGACTATATGTCCTTTGTTGATGTACTCTATGGTTCTTTGCGTGCTATGAAAATTGTTTATTATCAAAATGTAATCATCAGTAATAGTGTGGCATCTGATTCATCTCTCATTGTGCTCATTGAGTTTTTCTAACCATCTTTTTCCTCACATGCCTCTAATTAAAAAAAAGTGTGGTGGAGTGGCAAGTAAGAAGCATCTGTATAATTCTACTCTTAAATGACTATTATCAAGTTCTAGTCGAATGAGTTGCCCCAAGTAATTTTAGTGACAATTTGATCCTTGTTCCCTTAGTTCGTTCGGAGCAACGGTAAAGTTGTCTCCGTGTGACCTATAGGTCACGGGTTCGATTCGTGGAAGCAGCCACTAATGCTTGTATTATGGTAAGTTGTCTATATCATACTCCCATGGGGTGCCCTTCCCTGGACCCTGCGTGAACGCGGGATGCTTTGTGCACCGGGGCTGCCCTTTTCCCTTGCTTCGTTCCTAATGAAAGATTAAAAGGAAAAGATCAAGAAAAGACTTTACGCTGGTCAAATTTTGTGTCTTTTTATTCTTTGTTTTGCTATTTGTGGGAAATATGTGTCTTGGCTGTCTTTTACATGGTATTATGTCAAAAAAATTCTCAGGGAAAACAAGAATCTGACAGGCACAGCTCGCTATGCCAGTGTCAACACACACCTTGGAGTTGGTAGGTTAATCTTGTTTAGGCTGTCAAGTAACTATACAGGCATGGTAAGCCACAGATTCTATTGTAACTGACAAAAAAAATGTTTGTCTTGTTTTTTTTTCCTGGCAGAGCAAAGCAGAAGAGATGATTTGGAATCTCTGGGTTATGTACTTATGTATTTTCTTAGAGGAAGGTTGGACTTATGCGGTGTCACCTTTTCTTTTTGGCATCGTTTCTGACCAGGTCCTGTGTATTTGCAAATTCTATGGACGTCTTCACTGACTTGATGACAATTTCTTTTGGCTCAGTCTTCCGTGGCAGGGATTGAAAGCTGGTACTAAGAAGCAGAAATATGATAAAATCAGTGAGAAGAAGATGTTGACTCCAATAGAGGTACTATTTATGAGTATGAATGATGATGTCAAGTACTCTGACTGCATCTATTCTGACAAAGTGGACATCCATATGTCAACTGTCATAGAAATACTTCAGTATATACATCTTATTCTCAAGATAGATGGTTTTGAAATGTAACATATCCAAAAAAAAGGACAATTTAAAAATGCATTCATCTTATTAAGCCAATTTATTATCTTGTCTGGCCTGTCTTGCCTTTAATATAGATTATCTGCTGATGATGCGAGAGATCAGATGAGGAAATTGACACAGGATTTGATGGTCTTTCTAACAGGTGCTATGTAAGTCATATCCGTCAGAGTTCATATCATACTTCCATTATTGTCGGTCGTTACGGTTTGAAGATAAACCTGACTATTCATATCTGAAGAGGCTTTTTAGGGACTTGTTTATTCGTGAAGGTATATCTGTAATCCTCTCTTTTGCTTTTTCCAATCTACAGGCGGTCTGATCTGTAACTGTCAATTTTAGTGTGAAGTAGACGTGTTGTAATCTCTGCTTCTTAACCATTTCACTGGTGCAGGTTATCAGTTTGACTATGTGTTTGATTGGACCATTTTGAAGTATCCTCAGATTGGTGCCAGTTCTAGAGGACGTGTTAGTGCTTGTAAAACTTTGTTTTTGATTATAGTTGACAACCTGTTCTTAAATTTTTCTTAAGATGGACGTGTCTGCAATTTTTTTTGCCACCAGAATATTAGTGGAAGTGCGGCACTAAATGCTGGGCCATCTGCTGAAAGACCGGGAAGGGCATCAGGTAATATCTTTGACCTAAAATTATGGATTTTTTTGTCGTCCATTTCTGATTTTTTAATTTCCTTAGATGGTATGCCCAAAATCTTGAGTCGGCATGTACTCCTTTTTGCCTATTCAAATGGTGAATGTTCGGAGATGTGATTTTTCATGTAAAAGCTGAATACTGACTTGGCAGCTACTGAAAATTTATCACTCTTTGATGCTTATCCAGTGGGACAGGATATCCGAGACAGGTTTTCTGGTGCTGTTGGAGCATTTACACGGAGGAATGCTTCTGGTTCTGGCAGGCATGACGAATACTCAAGACACAAGACTTCAGATGATATACCTTCATCTAAAGATGTGGTATTGATCCCTTCTCTTTCTAAAAGCAATAGAAAGAACAGAAAATAAAATCTCAGGCGATTGGTTTGCTTGTGTCTTTAAGATGATTGTTTTTTCCAGTGAAAGAGGAGTAGAAATATTATCTTAACAGTTGATATATGCTTATAATTTTACAGCAATTTGATTCAGAAAGAGGCCGTAACTCAAGAAATGGTAGCTCGTCCAGAAGGGCTGCCATTTCAAGTAGCAGACCGAGCTCTTCTGGTGAACCTACTGATAGTCGCTCAAGCAGATTAGTGTCGAGCAGTGGCCGCTTATCTTCCACACAAAGGGTTCATTCTGGATTTGAACCAAAACCATCATTGTTTTCCCGAACTTCACTTGCAAAGGGCAGCCGTGATGACCCTCTTCGGAGCTTTGAGCTTCTTTCAATCAGAAAGTAAAGAGAAATTTTCTCGTTGTTTGAATCTTGTAATCCTATAATAGGATGTCTCCGTGCTGTAAATTGAAAATTTTCTACATGAAAACTAAAGCTTTATCTGACTTTACATTATTACTTGGTTTGTTTTCCGTGAAGAGTTTCTGGCCATTGTAACTCCATTCAGGCTCATCCGAAAAAAGTGATGAGTAATATGTACCAAGGTGGATAGTTACAATAAATATTCATGATGTACGAACGGATATAATATCATTTGTGCAGGCCTCTATAATGTATGGTGGAGATATTCTGTTTTCTTACTGATATGATTATCAACTACCAGTGACCAGTCCAAGGGATGGAAGTGTAAGGCTTCTCTAAAGGCAGCTAACCTATTCTCCAGTTCATCAATCTCCCTACTGCTACATTAGTTGGTCGAAGCAGTATAACTCCAAATTAACCATAATTTGCTTTTGAATGCAGTGCAACTCAAAGCATAAGCATAGGGAGTGGTACCTTTAACATTGTATCGTAGAGAAGTTAATGAAAATATAAAGTTGTACTGGGGATTCTCTAGTCTATGATTGATATATAACTTCATGGATTTGGAAATTTTCAGCGCAGTGTTACCCATTTGCAAAGCTCAACATTAATCAGTCAGTAAGAGAATATACGCATTAGATGCCATAATTACTACACTGTACAAAAGATATTAAAGTGCATCCTCTCGTATCCTTTACTTGTATCTTTCACCATCATATTCCCACTTTACTATAGGGTGCGCATCGGTCAGTTATCGGTTTATTAATGTGCTAAATTGATAACCGAACCGATAAGATATCAGGTATCGATTTGTCGGTTATCGATCCTTATCGGTTCGGTTATCGGTTTAGCCGATAAGAATAAAAGATATCCAAAATATTCATATTTTAGAAATCGTGATCATACTGTTAAGAGAAAGGAATTGGACTTTTGCTCACAAGAAAAGATGGATTAAATTTCAACTTTAGAAAGAAACAACTTTCTTTGCATTTGAAATTCCAATGAATGATCTCAATTTTTAAAATTATAAGTTAGTAGGAGTAAGGAATAAGACATTCAACAATCTAATCTTATTAACTATCTCACTGCGGGGCGGACATAACTAATAGAAAAATAATAAATTCCTAATCTTGTAAATACTAAAGAATCAGTGCAACAAAAGAAACAAATAGAAAAACTAAAAATCTAAACAATTAATTCTTTAAAGTATAGAACTACAAATCTTAATGGAAGAATTAAGATGAGAAATTTTAGAAAAGTTTAAAACTTACTCTAAGGAATAAGGTCTGAAAATGAAGAGTAACTGCGAAGAGAATTGAGAGAATGAAATCATAAGGTGACTTTATATACTTAGTGGATAAATTATAATTTTGTTAAAACTTATTGGGCTATCGGTTTAAACCGTTAATAAAATTGAGCAAACCAAGACCCGAACCAATAACCTAATAGTCAAATAACATTAAACCGTTATCGAACTATTTACCCAATAACCCGATATCCATAACCCAATAGCATTTTATCGATTCGGGCTATCGGTTATACCCAATATACGCCCAGCCCTAATTTACTACCAACATCTCGTCTTACAGACTTGCACAATTGAGAGCTCCCTACATCCAATAGTAAAATATCTTATCTTCCTATCTCACCTTTACCTTTTCAAGTATCTAAGTGAAAGTTGAAAGAGAAATATGTGCAACACTGATAGTTTTCTGCTTCACCAAGTGGTAAGCTTAACACTTGTGATAACTCCAAGAGGTCGTGCAAAATTAGACTTTCAAAGTTGAGATAGAAATCATGGTTATATGACAAAGTTTACGTTGCAATATAGAAATACAAGCAGCAAATTCAGAATATAAAGGAGCAGGTAATATATAAGTGGTGGTTTCTCATGATAAATCAGCAAAATCTCGGACGATAACTATCTCAAAACGTCTTAAATATTGCATGGCAATAAACAGAAATTTCTTTTATAACATCTCTCAAAGCTAAACAAAATACAAGATCCATAAATCCTATATATCAATCGCACTAATCAGAGAGCTCCTAAGCAGCTGTCTTCTTAAGCTTTGCAAGCTCCTGTCTCACAACTCCGGCCCTCTGCAATGTTAACATACATGTATCAGGTTTTGATAAGAGACTTATAAAACAAGGTTGTACCTTAATCTTAGCAAAATAACAAAATGAAGCTTACTTAAAAATAGTGAGCATAACATTACCTTAATCTTTGCCAACATAAGCTTGAACCTGTCAAAATCGTTAAGTGCAGCCCTCCTCTTCTGCACTATCAACTTCCTTCCCCATGAACTGTTCTCCCACTTGGTCTTCACATCTGGGAAAAGACCAGACAAATACAGGCTTAGCCTTCTTGCGAAGCAGATAAAGCCCATAAACCAACTGCTGATTCACAACTTATAGAATTTTAAGGAAAAAACAGATATAGTAAGCATCAACACTAACCAGCAGCTTCCATAGCCTCGACCAAGGTCTTCTTCTTTGGGATTCTTTTGATGTCAATTTTGATATCTGTGAGTGAAAGTCTCTTGAAGTTAATCTGGCTCCTCACCATGTCTGGAGCATCAACAAGAGCCTGTAATCATCTCAAAGATAAATGAAAATGAGTTTACAGTTGCTTCATTTTCCACGGCTATTTCAACATTGATTAAGGCAAAATACCATCTATCCAAATCACAGTATATTATAAGCCATGTTACCTTTCAGACTCCTTTTCAGTGGGTACAATATATGAATCATATAACCCCCCCCCCCCCCAATTAAGTAAATGAAACAAACAATCAATCAAACGACAATGCGTCAATCTCAAATCAATTGGTGTCAGCTATATGAATTGGTCTTCCCATTCTAGAACAAGGGAAATAAAACTAAGGAAAACTTAGGTAACAGCCTTATAAAACCGGTACAAAAATAACACAGAAAAAAGACTATCCACAGAAACTATCTAAACAATGTATTCTAGTCAGAATCATTAACACAAGGCCTCAGTCCATATTTGCTTAATCAAGTTATAATGATCAGACAATGTAGGCATATTATCTTATTCCATCATAGGTCTTGTATTAAATCCTCTAAAAACATTTAGAAACGATAACCCATAAGCGTTTCACCAATATCAACAAATTCAACAAAAATTTCTGTACACACCTTTACAATCAGTATTTCATTCACTATTTGTCTACTTATTAAAACTAACTAAACAATATATTCTAGCCAGAATCATTAATAAAAGGCCTCAGTCCATATTTGGTCAATCAAATTATAATGATCAGACAATGTAGGCATATATTATCATACTCCATCATTGGCCTTATATTAGATTCTATAAAACAAATTGAAAAAGACACAAAACTAAAAAATTAAATCTTCCTTTTTGTTCAGAGAAATTTAGCCAGCAGCTAGCTCCAAACGGTACAAATTTCATCGAGCAAAACCTAAGATGAAACAAAAACAGAAAAAAGTAAAAGTACCCTGTTTTGGTCGATGACGTCGACGATAACGACCAGCTTGCCATATTCCTTTCCGTAGTTGATTAAGGCTACCCTTCCAATCTCCACGAACCTCTTGAACGGCTAAACAACGAAACACAATACATTAATTATCAAATAATAAAAATATCGAGTTTATTTATGAATTTCTACAGGCCAAATACATTTTCGAACCAGGACGATAGAGTAATTTGTAAAGACTCACCATTTTCGGCGATCTGAAGGAGTAGACGCGCGAGCAGGCTATGAAAAGAGGAGGTGGAAGGAGTAATATAGTGCTAGGGTTTTTCAATGTGGCTACTGACTGTAGTATTCTAGTATGGGCTTAGGCCCATAATTCGCTGAAACGTGGAAGGAGGAGTGCGAATAGCCCAGCCTTTTCTATGAATTTGTAGGAGGTCAAAACATGGGCTGGAAAGCCCACTATCCTGTTACAACCACAACGGAAGAATTAAGGGGAACTTACCGAAATCACTACCTTTTAAAGAGCTTTTAACAATCCCTAGCTACATTTTATGGATTTACATTTTGTAGCTAGTATTGGACAATTCGTTATATTTGAGTGTATTTGAAAATATTGTTCAGCTGTATTTTTATTTTCGTCGCATGTATTTTTTTAGGATTCTCCCTCCCCTTTTTCTCTCTCTCTCCCTTTATATTTCCACACCTTTCTTTCTTGTAACTCTTTCTTTTCCCCTTTTTTTTCTTGCGAGTAGCTGTATCGCCGGAGTCTCTATCGGAGACCCACCGGAAACCGGCCCGGATTTGAGGTTGCAGCATTTCCTACCTTTGTTCTTTCTCCTATTTTTCCCTTTGGTTCCCCCTTCTGTTACAAGTATTCACTTGTCGGCGTCACCGGATCCGAGCGTGAGGCGGACGCGCCGATGAGACGTCAAAATCAGTTGGAGGCAGCACGACGCGTGGAGCACATGAACGGTTGGAAATCGACTAAGGTTAATACTGCAGCGCGGCCTTGATATTTACGGAGATTCACCAAGTTTTTGCACTATCGGGAGTTGGTACCTCCTGTTCTTCGAATAATATTTTTGTTTTCCTTGTTGTTAACCAATTAGTTTGCGATAGTTTAAGCCGAATTCTTCATTGCCTATATGTACTCTTAATTAGTGTATCTGCATGAATACTTTTCGTGCTAGTAACTGTCTAGGGATTTCTAGTCTGTAATTTTTTATTCTTAGTTTCTGTTCTGCTGGCCTTCTTTTATATATCTATTTTTATCGCTAGTTTTAATTCTTGCTTGTTTGTTTGTCTTACCTACATGCATATCTAGTGGATAGAGCTTAAATGTTAGACCTGCCTCTTTAGTTTATTCATTTTCCTATTTTAGCGACAGTTCTTCTGTAATTTTTCTTAGATTATAGTGGTTGAGGTGAGTGATGGTATAATAAGGTCATGTCCTCGGGTGGGGTGAGCGAGGGGGCGAGGGGTAGGGTCCAAGATGGCAAGGGAGCTTTTTGGCTGAGAGTTGGGTCTTGGAAAATAGGTACTTTGACGGGAAAGTCTATAGAGTTAGCGAAGATCCTCTAGAAGAGAAAGATCAATATAGTTTATGTCCAGGAGACCTGATGGGTGGGTTTTAAGGCTTGGAATACTGATGGGTTTAAATTGTGGTGCTTAGGACGCCAGAGGGGTAAGAACGGGGTAGGTATCTTGGTTGACAGGAAACTTATGGAGCTAGTGTTAGAAGTTAGGAGGGTGAACGACAGGTTGATGGCTATAAAGCTATTTGTGGGATGGTCTAATTTAAACGTGATTAGTGCTTACACGCCTCAAGTGGGTTTGGACGAAGAGATAAAGAGTTGTTTCTGGGAAGACCTTGACAAGTTGGTACGTGGCATTTTGCACACCGAGAAGTTTAGGAGGTGATTTCAATGGTCACATTAGGGCGACCTCTGGGGTTATGACGATGTGCATGACATCTTTGATTTCGGAGCTAGGAACGGAAGAGGTACTTCGTTGTTGGAATATGCTAAAGCCTTTGATTTGGTGATTCTTAACTCGTGTTTTCCGAATAGGGATGAGCACTTGGTCACATTATAGAGTCCGTTGGCCAAGACTCAAATTGATTATCTACTCTTCCGGAAGTGCGATAGAGGTTTGTGCATGGATTACAAGGTTATACCAAGCGATAATCTCACGACTCAGCATATGTTATTGGTGATGGACTTAGAGATCGTGAGGAAGAGGAAGAATAGGGTTACGTATGGTCAACATAGGATCAGGTGGGGTGTTTTGACTAATGGCAAAGCGCAGGAGTTGGGGGGAAGTTGTTGGCTAAGGGAGCCTGGAGTAGCAGTGGTGACGCGAGTTGTATGTGGACCCCGATAGCTGGGTGTATTAAAGTAGCTGCAAGAGAGGTGTTAAGGGTCTCGAAGGGTTTCTCTAGCAGCGGTGATTGGTGGTGGAATGAGGAGGCACAATAGAAAGTGGAAGCCAAGAAAACGGCGTACTTGAAGCTTATAGAGATCATAGATGAGGAGGCGAAGAAGTTAAACATGGAAGGGTATAGGAGGGCTAAGAAAGAGGCAAAGTTAGCAGTTACTGCGGCTAAGACTGTGACATTTGGGCATTTGTATGAGGATCTTGGGGCCAAAGGCGGGGACAAGAAGTTATACAGGCTAGACAAGATGAGAGAGAGAGAGAGAGGGAGAGAGAGAGAGGAAGACCCGTGATCTGGATCAAGTTAACTGCATCAAAGATGAGGAATGTACAGTTTTGATGGAAGAGGCTCAGATTAGATAAAGATGGAAGACATATTTTCATAAACTCCTAAATGAATAGGGCAATAGGAACATTGTACTGGGCGATTCGGAGCACTCCGAGATGCGCCGGAATTTCGGGTATTGTAGGTGGATAAGAGTAGAGAAGGTCGAGGGGGCTATGCGTAAGATACACAAGAGTAGAGCAACCAGGCCAGTTGAAATCCCTATGGAATTTTGGAAAAATGCGGGTAGGGCAGGTTTGGAGTGGCTCACTAGGCTGTTCAATGTCATTTTTTAAGACGAAAAAGATGCCAGAAGAATAGAGATGGAGTATGATGATTCCACAGTATAAAAATAAGGGTGATATCCAGAATTGCAATAATTATAGGGGGATTAATCTGTTTAGCCATACGATGAAAGTTTGGGAGAGGGTGATTGAAGTGAGGGTGAGGAGCAGTGTGCATATTTTTGAGAACTAGTTTGGTTTTATGTCGGGGCGTTCGACTATGGAAGCCATTCACCTTGTGAGAGATTGGTGGATTGGTATAGGGAGATGAATAAGGACTTGCATATGTTGTTAAAGACATGTTGGCGATGCTTGGAGGCTAAATGGATCCTAGTAACCTATATTAGGGTAATTAAAGACATGTATGATGGAGCTAAGACTCGGGTTAGGACAGCGCGAGGAGACTCGGAAAACTTTCCAATTGTGATGGGGTTGCACCAGGGATCAGCTCTTAGCCCATTTTTATTTTCCTTGGCGAAGGATGCATTGACGAGACACATTCAAGGAGAGGTGCCATGGAGTATGTTATTTGCTAATGACATAGTTCTTATTGACGAGACATGGGGTGGTATTAACGAGATGCTGGAGGTTTGAAGGCATACCCTAGAGTCCAAGGGTTTCAAGTTGAGCAGGACCAAGATGGAATACTTGGAGTACAAGTTCAACAACAGTACCTGACGAGCGCAAAACACAACACTGAATTGATGCTCATTTCAAGTTGAGCAGGACCAAGATGGAATACTTGGAGTACAAGTTCAACAACAGTACATGAAGAGCGCAAAACACAACATGAAATTGATACTCGCTAGCCAAAGTTAGTATAGTTAAGTTATCGTTTCCACAGGGACTGGATTTAAACAATGCTCTAGTAATTTCTGGTTTAACTGCTATTCAAGATGATCAAAACCTTATTTGGATTGCTTACGAACTACAATTAACTACTAAAGTAAAGCAATTGACAGTTGACGGCAAAGAACTAGAGATTAATTAGCAAAGTTGGTTTCTCATCAATGTGAGGAATAAGGGTCGTGACAGGAAATGTGCAAGATAGCTATTTGGGATTTAACTCTAGTTTAATTCACTCTAATGTTCTAATGATTCTCATGAATTCACTCGATGATTAGTTCAAACGTGTAATCAAGACTCCTCTCTCGATTAAATCGTAACTATACGAGGTGAACTAGTATAAGCACTGTAAAAGTATGCATGCATGTGTTAATGGATTAGTCTTTAGAAAAACGTCTCTCGAATATTCTCCTAACTTGATTTAATCAACAATTCAACAAGCTCTTTCAATTACTTAAGAGAATCAATGAATTAAATTAAAAAAGATCATGCAAAGATAATTTCCAAAATATTCCTCTTTGGATTAAATAGACCGGTGAATAAAGTTGCAATAATTCAAAACTTCATAAACGAATTCAAGAAAGAATTAGAGTTAAAATCCACAAATATTTATCAAAATATCATATCCGTCAAACCTTAAGGGAAACCACTCCATAATATAATTAAAAAGTAAGAAATCATCAATCTGACATTACAATATAAACTCCCGTCTTGAATTGATGGAAAAATGATGAAATCTCGTGTCTTGTAGCTTCTAATGCTCTCCCAAAGCTTCCAAGGTCAAAAGTCCTCTAAAAAAATTATATTTTTGGTATATTTATACCATGCAGGAACGGGTCCGAACGAAACTACCCTTTCCAAGCCGAAGTGGGACAATTGGACCGCGACAATAAACTGGCACGATGCCCCATTCGCTACATTAGCGAGGATCTTTCAGAGAGTTGGTTTTTTTCACTTTGAAGGAATTTTGCACTAGCATTATGAGCTTCGCGGCGCGGTAGTGCAATTTTCTCAAAGTAATTTTGTACTCGACCCTCGAACGTGATCCCGACTTAATTTCTTGGGCTTTTACTCAGACTTCAAAGCTCCACATTGTTCGATTTAGTTCCAAATATCTTTTTAACTCGAACTCACTTCCTGCAAGGCATAAAACACATAATAAGTGCAATACAGTAACATTTAAGCTCAAGCACAAGTAAAATGCAATAATTAGGGTGCAAGCGATGACTAAAACACGTGATTCCAGCCTACCATCAGTACCAGGAAGCGAATATGGAGGTAAGACTTGAGTCATTCCCAAAAGAGGTAATTTCAAGTGCCTTGGATCAATAATGCAGGGTAATAAGGAGATTGATGAAGATATCACACATCGTATCAGAATAGGATAGATGAAGTGGAGGCTTGCTTCTGGTGTCTTGTGTGATAAGAATGTGTCGTTGAGACGTAAAGTTAAGTTCTACAA